ATCAGTTTAAGTGTCTCCATTTTACATTAACACTATTTTCTCCATTAACATTATTCCTTATGTCATTGTTTTGAATAATTAATTTAATTTTATAAATCAACGCTTATTTATTGACTTTTGTGTATAAAATTGATATGTCGATATGTCATGTGTCACAAATAATCATTTTAGAAACAGACAAGTCCTACATTAAATTAAATGCAAAATTGAATTAAATTACATTATATGAATATATCGCAAAAATATGAACAAAATTATCCGTGCATGACATAGAAATTAAGTATGTGTTCATTGATATGTAAGTTGCGTTTCAAATGTCTAAATACTTATAGGCTATCTATTAATCAGTTATTAAGGTTAATACTTCAAACGTTAATAAAATGAAATTCTGTTTAATAACTTTCAATAGTCAAGTACACATATTAGCAATAAATATTCAGCAATAAATCTGATAGTAATTTAATTTAGCGCTAAAGTGCTTCTTTAAATAGCAATTGATGATCAATTTTACACGGCAAGTATATTGGCAAATTTATATCCATTATATTGAACAACTGTTGATGTGAAAAAGCTATATTTTAAATGGTACGTTAATTATAGTAAATGATATGGGGTGATCACTTATTTACATCGACATATTTAGTTGTAAAGGTATTTAATTTTGTAGATATTAACATCATCTGTTTTAAATGATAGTTAACTGCTCGAGATTTAAGTGCGACTGAATTTTTTTTTTTATTTTTGCATTTCTTGGGCATTTTATATCAATATTACAGAAACATTTGTACCAAAAGATATTTGGATCATATAACATTTCATGTCTTCTCATAAAAGATGATAAATGTTTTTTTTGTCTTGACAATATTAGACCTACAAAGAACTCTGCGAACATTTATTATCGTCATATTAAACATGAACGTGATTTACTGAGCATTCTGTTCAATCATTATTGCAAGCAAACTCATCATATATCAGTGTACCCTTGGTCTACCGAAAAGCGTTAAACGATGTCAAAAGTTAATGCGTGTACGATTTAAGATTGGAATAATATAACAAACATAATTTTAGATTGTACGTTAAAAAGATAGGAGTTCCATATAAATGGCACAATGTATCATTTTGTGGCTGTTTTTTCATAGTTTTTACTAACTTATTTACATTACGACAAAAGCGTATCATGCTGTCCTCACAATATTTCTTTTGCTGTTCGTGAAAACAATTTTAACTTCAGTTATTACAGACCTAAATTTATTTAAATTGTCAGTGAAAATACAATTATTCAAGAAATAATTGAACGGACGTGTTCAATACGATTAATGAGTGATTTTGCAGTATTTTTTTTAACGCATTTCTACTAAATGTTTAACCCAGTAAGGGCTAGTTATATTTATTCTTACCCAACTTTCGTAGATCTATGGTATATTTTGAAACATATAAATGTCGTTCTTTTTTCTCTTGATGAAGTTTTACTTTTTAATACATTTTTAAATTGTCTTGAAAATTTGCATGAATCTAAAGGCAAAAATTTTTTACAATTATTCACCTTTCATCTCTTTCTTTACCTTAATTATTCCTATCTACATTAAATTATAGATCTTTCTGACTTAATGTCGCCGAAGTCTAAATTTGTCAGGATTAATATTTAACATTTACCTATACAGTAATCTTTTTCATGCGAAGTGTTCAGCATACATAATTGAGAACAAGAGTTACAATTTTCAATATTTGGCGGCAAAAAAGTGTTGTGTTTGTTTCTGGTTTTCATTTCTTTTATATTCTTATTCTTATTTCTTCTCAATTATAGGGAGATAAAACAAATACTGTTTAATACAATGGAATATGACATGGTTTGATTTCATCAAAACCTGTTGTTTCAATCATTTGTCATATAAAAAAACCCATTTGGACCGCACTTAATGGTTTTTAGAGATGATCTATTTTAGCTGTAGTGGGCGGAAATATTGACAATCTGGTGGGATATCGGTAAATCATATTACGTTATATCGATGTTAGGAAAAGGACAACTATTTTGCTCACACTTAGTTTAACAATTGTCAAATTCTGACACACTTTCGTATATTTTCAGACTTTAATTGAGACGCTTCCATTCATTAATCGCTAGTACTAAAATATGTTAAGGTTAAAGCTAAAATATTGTGCATAAGAAATGCAACTTTCAAATCTTCCAGATATAAGAATTTATTATAACTTTTGTTAATATGTTCGTAGAATATAAATAATTATTTCATGATTATCAGGTTTTGAGGAATGTATTGTGTTCTAATATTTCCTAAAATTCTAGTTCAAAACGTATCACATATTATTCACTTATTAGGCATAAAGATCTTCATTTCATCTTAATACTGCCAACTTAATGGCATTCAGCCACAGATGTTCGTTTCAGCACGTTGGAGCTGGATATATTTTATATTTTGTGTACCATGTTGTGCAAGGCTCAATTTATAATTTGTGTGCAAAATTTCAGATTTTCTTTTCCTAGAATAAAAATTTAAACGGCCTAAAATTCTAATATAATATAACTTCATTTGAGGCAAATAATCGTTACACTCACAGACAAATACAGCTTGACATTTAAAGTAACATTACCAAATGTTTTATGTTTGATAACATTATTTCACGTCGAGTTAAAGCACTAATGATTTAGATGTTAAAAAATCGAATGTCTATTCTGTTTTCCACATGCATTTGAAATGACCGGTTACTTTTTTTTCGCTTTGTGCAAGATGACACATAAAAAGACTCAATTTTATATATTTATTATGACTTACTTATTCAAAATAAACGCATATTTATCTGCGCCCATGCAATTATTTAAATCATATACACTTTTAGTCTTTAAACATGATTATTGTGCAGCAAATATGTATTCCCGTATGCAAGGTATGTAACAAGTTTTTTAGATGCGTGATAATTGTGTTGGAGCAGTGGTATATCAAGTTGTTAAATGTTACCTAACCAATATTAACGTTACTCCATTTATTTCTTCTTGTCCAATACTTTGCATTATATACAAAATGCTGAACAAGAATAATACATTGATGTAGTCATTCTTTCCACCATACTGTTCCATTTTAAGGACATCACGATTTACGTAAACACATAAAAACCAGTCTCAGATGTAAATGTGCTATTATTACGTCTGCTTGTAATTGTCACTTGCTTTTTTATTCCTCATTTTATAATTATTTTGCTATTTTACTGTTAAAGATGAAGGAATGGTGCTCACAATAACCTTTATAACTTTTAATTTAAAGTGTTTTTTTCCCGAAACGTCGTCACGGAAAACAATAAAATAATCATAATACACGTGATATTAAATTAAATGATATTTCAGATCATTTGATGAATTCTATAATTTGAATTGTATTCAATCAATTAACCGTAAATAATTGTGAATCTGAAAACAAACCGTATGTTAAAAAATCACATCAACTTCTCTTCGCAGACAACTGAATGAAATATTTAATAATTAGTTATCAAACACTAGTAAGAAAATATAAATAATGTTATTCCTTCAAACGAAATAAGTTTCCTTAAACGAGTCTACTTTCTTTTAAATCAAAACACGCATAAATGAGGGCCATTATATAAAAAATAAGAATTACTTAATGTTCTACAAATTACCAGATAATTTGCATAGAAACTGACATAATATGATGAATGTGATTGCGTCAATGATTTATGGCGTGGCTCGAAATGATTTCGAGACAATATTTCATACGGTTTAGGCGTTTTACTTTATCACCCCTTATTAGAATCATAAAATATTTATTGACATTGTGATATTACAGTTTTCTCTTTGATTGCCAATGAGTAAAAACAGAAAAAATGAAAATTAAAAATTAAACTTCATAATGCCATGTACATGTATCCATGTTCTAAATGGAGCCATATACTAGTTAAAATCATTTGATTTCAAAAAGGAAACATAAAAATGCCAGTGTAACAATATTGTAGAGTTCCACAAGTTAATGCTATTTAAAGTTACCTTAGCACTTTGACATTAGGTATATTTTCATTTATTCTTGACAAACATTTTTGTTGATATAACCAGCAATAAAACACAAGATGAGTCATATTCCGCTTTAGAATGACAAAACATACACTGATACGAATAGCATATACACCAGGGGCGTCCTTGGGCGTGCCGTTCTTTTTGTTCTTCTTTGTCCGGCTCGCGGTGAAGTCGCTCTAACGACGCGAACACGGTCCGAGAACATTGTTCCCGGGTCAAAATTTCACACTACCTACTAACCGGGAGGACCGGGAATTACTCCAGAACAAAATGGCGGAAATTGAAAATAAGACAAATGTTAACATAATTCATAGCGTAAAATCTCTCTTAAGACGTTAAAAAAAATGTTGTAAATTAACGAATTACAACAGTATACACTGATAACCGTGAATATAGATTACATACAGTGTGTCTAACGTCATTGATAGTACATGTGGTTGGCTAAGGGGCGTTTCGTACTCAACTTCTTCGTAACTGTCAAAATAATATTTCAAGGCATTAGTCAATTTAAAACACAACTATAATATTAATATATTTTTTATGTTAACACTTTATTATTCTGCCCACATAATTCTCGTATTTTACTTGTTTTTTGTACACGTGTAATAGTTTTGTTTCAAGCTCACGAGGTGGGATTCCTTGCGCCAAAATAATGGTGGACCAAAGTGTTTATTTAAATGGCATGTACATATTAAATGTAAATCTTGTTAGATCTATTTATAGTAAATCTTGTTAGATCTATTTATATGTTACATAAATGTGCTAGTCTAGAAAATTTTTTTATTAATAAATAATTGAAATCTTTTGGATTTCAGTCATTCCTCTCAAAAAATTTGAGGGTGAACTGTTTTACCAATTTAAGGGGGTGAGTTTGTCTTCAGTTTTTGAGGGCGTGAGTTGTCTAGTTACTTTTTTACCCCTTGTGGTATACTATGTCCAATACTCTAACATATTAACTTTTTTCTTTCAGATGTCTAATATAGATGGACGCTGGACTTGTTACCTTTGCCACCATTGCCCTTCTTCAGCTAATTATCAAAGCTTATCAAAACAAGAAGACAGTAAGAAAACGATTGTTTTTGTGGATACAGATTACAGGTTCTTATTTAATCATGTTGATATTGCTTGATTATGTAATAATATGTTAAAGATCAATTAGTATGGCATGACAATTTATATAATGTGGCATGAATTTAAATGTGCCGGCTGGATTTTAGAAATGTATAACTGCTTAACAATTTAAAAGGAACAACTCTCAGTGCAAGATCTATTTCATTGCGATAGAAAATAGAATCATATAGCATTTTGTATTACAATATAAACTTACAGTTTGAAAGCACTTCCAAAAACATATCTGGTTTTGGTAGTGTTGTTTACCAGTGGAAGAGGTTTTTGATATAGTTAGTATAGTATATTTATTTCTCTAATTCAAATCCATGTTGACTTGATCCAGTTGCCACCCATTAAAAATATTTGGATATATATTATTGTATTGTACTTTGCTTAAGAAATTACGATAATGTAAGAGAAACTATTTTCAGGTTGTATCTGCGCTGTTGCCATTGTCATTTAGCCTTTCATCCTCAGTGTGAAGTGTTTGAGCTAGAGCTTATTCTTACTGGCGAAGTAAAAGAAATTTTGTGCACACCTTGCGCAAGCAAAAATGGCTGATGATAATAGGTAAATAAAAGTGAGAAAATAAAGTTATTCAAAATATTATATCTGCATCAAGTAATAGTCAACATCTTTGATGTTATAATGTGGCTGCCAGTATTTTTATTATTGTGAGGATATTATTGAATTTGGTTATTAGTATATATATTAGTATATGCATATACTAATATTGAAATATTTATTCATCATATTTATTTTTAATTCAAGACTTTGAAATATGAAAAACTTTTTAAACACAATGGTGAAGTATTAGTTTGTGAAATTAAGTCTACATTCCTGCTTGTGTATTTGCATGAATTTTCATGCATTGCCACAGTAATTGAAACGCTTTTCATGTATCAGTTATAACTGTTATAGCACATTATCATAAAGATGTAGACAGTTTATTGTAATTATTCATCAAAATTGTTTAATTGTTTTTGATAAATATTGGATCTCCTTAAAAGCTTTAAGTTTTTTTTATCATTTTTCAGACTTGGTAAAAGACATGTAACACAGATAAATGTTTGACTTTTTCTTTTTCAGAGTCTATGTACAGTTGGAATCAAGTGGAGGTGGCCAGACTTTACTTTTGGTTGATAGTGATATGGCTAAAACAATTACAGAATGGTATGATATATTATTATCTTAAATTTATGACATAATTTATACATGTATGAATTGATGTATGTAACCTTCAAGTCAAAAGTAGTAACAAGCATACCTAGGATTCCAAATTTACATAAAAACCAAGTTGATCTGCAAGACCAGTTTTCTCTACATACCATCACAAACTCCAGTTTCTCACTCTTTTTTTTAAAAATTTATAGTCTTTAATTAAGATATGCCTAAAGAATAACTTAGCTACTAAGTTAATGTGTTTGCTTATATTCATCAACAGGTCAGCTCTGGCAGGATAATGAACATGGTAAAATTATTACTGGTAAAACCCAAATCATTAGTATGATCAAGTATTCTGTTATACCAACTGTTTCAGATAATTTGTTTCAGATGCAACTTTCCGTGAAAATTTTCAAAGGTGCCTCCAAGGATCAGAAGAAAATAAAGCTGAAGACAATTCATGTAAATCTGAAGAAATAATGAAAGATGATAACAAAGGAGGTATTTGTATAATGTATTACAACCTTCCTGGTAAATCTCAAAAATAAGCTAATATATCTGCCATAATGAATAAATACTTTTTAATACTTTCCAACTGACTGGAGAGGTGCATGATATGTTAAACACGATATACATGTTTACATGTATGTTAAGTAAATGGCATAACAACTTTTGAAAAAGGAAGTAAGAAATTAGATGGCTTCTTAACATCAAAATATCATTAAATGTGAAATCTAATGTTACTGTCCAAATCCAATGATAATCCAGTGCAATATCTGGACATCCACGCAGTGTTAAGTTTAAAAAGGTAATTTTCTGTATATATCTTTGCGAGGTAAGATGGCAACCTCAAGCTAAACCCAGCTACTTGTTTCAATGCGTATTGAAAAAATGATGTAAAATTCCACCATGCAGAAGACTCACTCAACTTTTGTGGATGAAATTTCAGCAGTTTTGAAAGAAAAGGGCCACATTTTCACTGGGAAAAAATGTAGCAACAAAATGGAAGTCTCTAAAGAGAGACTATCCCGGGCTGTTGTCGACCACCATCCAACTCCAAAACTGGCTCAGACAAGAAAACTTGTAAGTTTTTTGATGACTTTAATCAACTTTATGGAAATAAGCCAAGTACCAGACCAAGTTTTACTATTCAATAGTGGTTCCACTACAAGTGCATTATCTAATCTTCAATGTACAGATGCTGGGTAAAGGTCAAATGCAGAAGTTTTCGCCAGTGAAATAGAAGATACAACTGACAGTGGGGAACCACCAGAAAAGAAACCAAAAACACCAGGCAGAAAAATAAAGAAAAAAGAAAACTGGTGTTGATAGAATGATTAGCTTTCTTACATCTTACCAGGATGCCCAAAAGCAGATGCAAGAGGAGCATGAAATGTTTGTAAAAGAACAGAATGCTGAAAAGCTTATTAAAAGATTTGATCAGTTGTTGGACATTTTGGCCAAAAAGTAATATTATTTGTCTTCCATAGAAGATAATTTTAGTGACAATGAGGACCTTATTATGTGCCCATCATTTGTTTTCTTTTCTCAAAATAGTTGGATAAGAGGTTTATCAATTTAATACATTTTTGTTTATATTTCACTGTTCATAAATAGTTATATTTACCATAAGCTGTTTTATTTCTTAGGATTGAAAGGCAATAGCACTTGTCAAAATTGTCATGAAGATTTTGTTATTTCCAACTAGTCATATTTGGTACTCATCATTATGCCATGTACACATTTGGAGAAATTGTTAGAGTTATATTCATAATTGTTGAAAGGCAATAGCACTTGGCAAAATTGTCATGAAGATTTTGTTATTTAAAACAGGTCTTATTTTGTACTCATCATTATGCCATGTACACATTTGGAGAAATTGTTAGAGAGTTATATTCATTATTGTCATGAAGATTTTGTTATTTCCAATTAGTCATATTTTGTAGTCATCATTATGCCACATACACATTTGAAGTACTTAGTTATATGTGTCATTGTTGTGATTTATTGATAATTATTGTGATATTTTGATTGTGTAAATGGCATCATTATTCAGTAAGAATTATGTTAATGATCTCATTATTCAGTAAGAATTATGTTAATGATCTCATTATTCAGTAAGAATTATGTTAATGATCTCATTATTTAGTAAGAATTATTTTGTATTTATTTATTGAGTTTATGTTGGAACTTGGCTTTCTACACAAACAGTGTAATAAAATTGAAGTTAAAGTTATAGTTTTGTTGCATTATTTTTTTTTGATGTTTACATGTAAATTATACAAATACTTATTGCTCCATATAGATATGTATCACCAATCATACTATGAGCTTTGGATGAAATTTGAGTTTGTGACTTGCAACATCTATTTTAATGCCAAGAAAATTATTTATACAAACAGAAAAACAAGCCATTATATTTTTAAAACTTTTTACTGCAGAAAAATGATAAAAGGAATATCATGAATAATTTCATATATGCTGGCCATATACAGTGATACTTTATAGAAAATGAAACAATCTTACACAATGCATTGTGTGACTTTAGAAATACTCATGTTGGTATAATGCTTAAACGACAAAATACACATGGAAACTATTAATAACAAAAGATGACAGAGAATTTTCAACGACTGTTGCCATGGAAAATGAAAATATGTTTTTGACCCTCAATAATGTCATTTATTTTAAACAAAAAAGTATGCTGCATCATCAAATCTTACAAAGTGTTTGCTATGGTATCCCGAATTTGTACAGCGTCTGCATTGTTTGCAAATATGTTGGGATAGTTGTTGACATCCTGAGCTTGATTCATGTCAATGAACTGTTCAATTTCATCTTTCAATTTCATGAAAAATGATGTACCATTTAATAAATGAAACATTACAGAATCGTGTTTAATGTAGGCCCCTACATGTATATTTACTAATTAAAATAGATAAATACAGAATCCCTAAAGAAAGCCCAACACGGCAAAATTGAAAATGTTGCAGGCTCGGTTTGATTGAGCCTGTTCATGGACGGTATTGGAAAGTGCAAGTTACCGTCCACGCCCCCTAGCACCGGCTTAAGCAGAATTCAACATTTAAACATGAAATGGTAAACATTTTGAATTTAGAAACATCCGCAGATGTGTTCATACGGCGGTTATCATGGAACCTTCAATGTGACACTTCCGTGCCATTCCATGAAAAGCGGCGTATGGTCCCCAAGTAATAAAAAGCGTGTGCCCTAAAAGGAGAAAACAATGGCGAAAACTAAATAAAATGGAATTTTGAAAGGGGATCAGAGGTTATGAAGCCTGCGTATCACAGATAAGACGTCAAAAGACAATTTAAAAAGCAGGCAACATATCCTAAGGGTGATTCAACATTATTCAAGTAGGAATATTGGAACCACCCAACACGAAAATGCCGAAAAGTTGAAACTAAAAATACCACAAGCACAACAATAATGTCGTGCTGAACGATCTTCAAGGATCGAAAATATAACATCATTGATTAAATGTACGGGGAGACTTTTTACAGCCGCCACACGGCACAAATAACACGGATGTGATCTTAAAATAGATAAATACAGAATCCCTAAAGAAAGCCCAACACGGCAAAATTGAAAATGTTGCAGGCTCGGTTTGATTGAGCCTGTTCATGGACGGTATTGGAAAGTGCAAGTTACCGTCCACGCCCCCTAGCACCGGCTTAAGCAGAATTCAACATTTAAACATGAAATGGTAAACATTTTGAATTTAGAAACATCCGCAGATGTGTTCATACGGCGGTTATCATGGAACCTTCAATGTGACACTTCCGTGCCATTCCATGAAAAGCGGCGTATGGTCCCCAAGTAATAAAAAGCGTGTGCCCTAAACGAGAAAACAATGGGCGAAACTAAATAAAATGGAATTTTGAAAGGGGATCTGAGGTTATGAAGTCTGCATATCACAGACATAGTCAAAAAGACCAATTTAATAAGTAGGCATCATCATCATAAGGGTGATTATACAGTATTCAAGTAGGAATACTCCGGAACCACCCAAGTTGAAAAAGGCCAAATAGAAGAAACTTAAGTACCACATTACATGTATACACAACAATAATGTCGTGCCTGAACGATCTCTCAAGGTCGCATGAATATAACATCATCGATTAAATGTACGGGGGAGACGTTTTACGCCGCACACACGGCACAAATAACACAGATGTGACAACGAAAATAGAGAATACCAGAATTCCGAAAAAAAAGATTGAAATTGTTGCACGGCCCGGCCTTCGGTTTGATTGAGCCTGTTCATGGACGGCAATGGAAAAGCTACCACGCAGCACTTGAACCTGTGTTGTGAAGTATAAAAATCTGGAAACACCAGTGTCCCTCTGAAGCATTAATCACAACAAAATTCCAAGACAATTGCAGACTTGGTTTTGATTCAGTCATTACATGAGGGATAATAAATACATAGTGCAACATCACGCCCCGACGCCAGAACTGGCTTTTTTTCTTAGCCATGTGATAACTCTCAGCAAATCTGTTCACACTTTACTATATGAAGAGGACACTGTTACCTCTAATAACTTTTGTTTAAACACATGGCCAATTAATTGTATTTTTATATGGCAAGTCACAGTTGAGTGCGGACAAGTAAAAATTTCTGGCCCAACTTGTCCGTGGGCAAATGGCAAAAATTTCATATTTCCACACCCTGTATCTGCTGTCAAAGGTTGATATATATTGATATAAAAATTTTACATCAATGACAGCAATGATAGCCATAATTGGCAATGGTTTTATATATATCTACTATATATATATATTATATATATATATATATATATACAAAACACATTCCTCCATTTACGGGGCATCGGTCTATTTAGACCATAACTTGTGGGGTTTATATTTAATGTGGGGCTACATAAGGCCTCGCAACCTCTGGCATATTTAAAACGATGTATGGGGGCGTTAGGCTACCCTTCTAACATAGTGCCCGTAGGGCCGTTTTAGTAGTAAATGATATAAAAGAAATGTCCCAACAAATGTATATATTTATTATGGGGTTTTATGTTATTTGAGTCAAATATTTTTTCACCTATGGTAAAAATCAAATATATAGTTTATATAATATAACTTAGTACCCTTAGTTCTGTTGTATTGGAAATGTTATTCTATAGGCCCTATATAGTGGCGTATTAAAAACTGACTGCATGAAATAATGCCACTTCAACTCGGTCTTATATATGGGCCCGTAGTGAAGATATTGTTGTGAATATATATAATATATATATATATATATTGTTTTAAAAGATTAGTCTACTGCGCAAGGGAATTTTTAAACTGAAAACTTGCAACCAAAACAAGAGCCACCGCCGGCGGGGGCAACGCTCCGACTTTTTACTTTCTTCTAAAACAGCAAACAAAAGAAAATGTTTTAACAAAAATTAACGTTTCCATTTTTCATAAAATTAATCATTCTGTTTTGTCACATTAGTAATTGTCTATATATTTTA